TGCTTATTTCGGGGGTCAAAAGACCCTGTCTTATTTTCGGAGAAACATGATATCAACAAACAATGGATTTCTACTTTCACACATGTTTACAACATGACACCAATTTACCTCTTTCTGACATACATTTTAGGCCTTTTATTCATAATTAAACTCACATCTTCACCTCTATGCATTTACTCATGAATTCTGCTCTATAAAATAATCAGATTATCTTCATTTAGACCTATTGCATCCTTCTCCTTTCTCTTATTTTAACAGACACATAATCTTCCTATTTGCATTCCTTCATCCCTTCATTAATATCTTTATGCATCATTGCAGTTACATTTAGGTCAGCATCTTCATATGCCATGGTCATTACCAGATGGTCATCCATTCCATATAGATATTAATATCTTATGGAGTATAATTTTCCATGTAGAGCATAACTTTTGAATCTCATTGTTCCCAGCCCAAACCATACAAATCCGCATTCTAATATGCAACCTGTAATCTGCGCATCTTAAATTTCATGCTAACCCTCTGATGCTTGGCCAAAGAAATGTTCCCTTTAGGCAACCAGGCCTTTATCTTTCACTTGAATGAATCTCACTCTCTTCATTCCTTCCTGCAAATAATATCCCCAATTTAAAGCGTTTCTGATTGCTATCAGGAACAATTGACAGTCTGTGTGCAATCTGTACTGTTAGTGAGGCTGCTGGCGTACAGAATTATCCCCATGGCATCTTCAGATTAAGAATAAGTAGAAGATGCTAATTTTTCTCAGTTAAGATCAGTAAAGTCTACCCTTGCCCAGTAATGTTTCTATGATGGTTGTATGCCTACCTTCCTATTCTTTCCTAGAAATAAATTCCACCAGGCTCCAAAGGCATATTTATATTATGATCCCGTCCTAACCCAACTTGGTGCCCTCCATGTTGTCTGGACTTGAACTCTCATAATTACTAATTAGTATAAATGCTGTCCGTGTTAGAAATTCTAAGAATTGAAGTGTAGTATATCTTGCCAAGTTGGGGAACTCTGCAGTAACTTGGTAAATTATCTCCTCAGTCACCAACACATATACTCTATCATCCATCCATCCATCCTCTGTCTATCTGTCTGTCTAGCTAGCTAGCTAGCTAGA